GCAGCATCCAAGAAGATGCGAGAAAAAAAATTCCTTAAAGAAAAATAAAGAACTTCAAAGACGAAGAAAAAGTAAAACAAAAACACAAAGCGAAGCTTTCTTTTTCTCAACAAAGTTTCTTTTTTTTTTGAAGAATAAGTTTCAATCTTATTTTGGAAAACGTGGCATGATGCAAGTATCCTCGCTGTATATACAAGCACAGCGCATGTCTAGCGACTCCACCCTAAGAAGTGGTGTGAGGTTGACATCAATGATGATACTTTATATATAACAACATAAATGGCCATAAATGGAAGCAACTGAAGAAGTCTGGGAATGTTTTTGTTTCGCATCGCTTCCAATACCACTGAGTGCCTCACACCATGCTTGATTTTGGTCTGTTTCCATGGAAATTTAATTCACTGTTGGAATGTATGCATCCTGGTGAGTTGCAACTCACACTACGTTGCATTTTTGCAGACAGGGAGCGACGAGACAAACATGAAAAATTGTGGAACGAGGAATTGGATGTGAAGTTTGCTTTTTGTTGCTATGAATTGTGCATGTAACGTTGGATGGAAAATGCCGTCGGTGTGTCATGTTCGCAATTACTGAATAATTTATTTACAATTTAACACTTTTTTCTCTGGTGCTCATGGATTTGGACATTGGAAATGCGACTGCTGAGTTTTTTTTATCCATGCTGTATGTGGATGGGTATTAGGTTGAATTTATTATAGATTTTCTGGGTAAAGGTTGAGTTTTGATGATGGACTCCAAAAATAATGCTAGAAGATATGATAAGATAGTAAATTAGCCAGAGCTTTGACAATTTTCAATACTTTTTTAACTGGAATCAATTTTGTCACAGACGGGGTGGGATGGCACAATTTTTGTTTCAACTGCCGCTTCTGTGTACTTACTTACTTACTTCGGTGGTCGTACAGATCAATTGTGATCCATGACCTCCTTTTGTCATCCCTTAAAACCAGTCACCTCTATCGCTGGCTACCCTCTATCAATTGCTGATTATTTGGAATCACTGTCTCTATCAACAGCCTCTTTCCATGTGATCTCTTTCCATCCGCAAATTTGGATTTGAAGACCTTTTTTGATGGAGCGTCAACAGGTCTTCTAATAACATGTCCAGCTCATCGAAGCCTGTCTACTTTGATTCTCCTTACAATATCAGCATCTTCTGTGTATGCCACTGAATATAAAACAGTGCAGGGAGTATCGTGAGTTATTTCATTGGCCGCATACTTACCACCAATTTGAAAAATTTTTGCAGATTTTGAATGTTGACATTTTAGATGCAGTTTGGCGAAACATTGGCTCATGAGTTGCAAAATATGAATTCAAAAATACACAAAAATGCGAAACCTTATAGCTAATAGTTTTGAGAAAAATCAACTATTTGTTGTCGTTGCTCTATTAAGTATCAATAATAATATGTGAGAGGGTTCCAGCCCAGCGATGTGTTGCTACACTTTGCGACGAGCCGGAGGCACTGCGATCCTGATCGATGATAGCATCTATTGTTAAGTATGAAGTATCAAGTCGAATGTTTTTATAGGTTCAAAACACTCCATTGAATATACTGAAAAGGATTTGATTAAAACAACATAATTTGCTGATAATAAAAAATTTATTATATTCCAAAAAGTCTTAAAAAGCTACATAAAGTTCTGAAAATATTTACAAAAATAGAAAAAAAATGTAAAAAAATTAAACTTAGTATCAACATTAATAAATATTCATAAAAATTGTTTATAAGGTTAGCAACATTTTGATTTTTTTTGACTCATCTTAACAAAAAATGATAAAGGAACTTTGGTCATTAATTATTAACAAGGCGTGGAAACTCAGGAGTAATCCTGAAAAATCCTGAAAATCTTAAAAAATCCGAAGTCAATAAACATTGAAATGTGAAATCCGTGATGCATTTGATGAATAATTTCAGTATTTAGAAGAGATTTCTCACTTTCATGTTTATTTGTTTAAGGATTTTCAGGATTAATCCTGAGTTTTCACGCCTTGATTATTATGTTTTGGTTTAAAAAAATGTTTTAATGATTTTTGACAGCTACAAATGTTTAAATTATTTATACATAGCATGATAAAAATCTGTTCTCAATTGACTTTTTTCTGCCTCTTATTTTGCTTAACAAACATTTAATTGATTAAGCTAGTTAAAATTTCAAATTAAAGGTCAAAGTCTCCTTAAGTTTTGTATTAAAAAGCCTGGTCATGACGCGTTAAATTACATATTGCTAGAAAATGTACAAAAAACTTAATGAAATCAAAAAATGATAAACATGCGCTTGAAATTTTGTACAATCAATGAAAAAAAATTAATTTTAACTGGTGCTAGGTGCAATGCTAATGGCTTAATTAATTGGTGAATGATCAGACTCAAGAAAACATCTTAGAATAAATTCTGTAAAAAATAGAAAATTTTTCAATTATTTGCTGTGTTTAAAAATATTTTAATGTTTTTATTACCTTTTCTCACCCCCTAATAGAAGAAAATAGTTTTGTTGTGATAGCCATTAAAGATGTGACCAGGAACCCCATTGTTGACACCTGCACTAAACATATTGAGAGAAAATATAATTTTAATGAATTTTCAAAAGAATTGTTGGAGCTGAAAAGGATCCTGTTTCATAGAATAATCAACCAGCTTATTCATTGCAAATCACACAATATAAATTATATAATAAAATGAAAATAATTTTACCAAAACAAATGGAATCGAAAAAAAACAACTTCGATGATGACATTGTTAGACATTTTGACTCTCTGACGTACCACGATGAAGTTTGAATTCACATTTAATGACATTTTAGCATTTTGATGGGTTTTTTTGTCATAAAAAAGTTCAAAATGTTCCAAAAATTCACTTGGAATTCATGGTGTGTGTTTCTGTGTCCTGAAGTAGCTTTCGCATGTGTAATTAAAATTGTTTTTATTGTTGTCAATTACCAAGGGTGGATTTTAAATTTATAAAGTGATTTTTTAAGTAAAGGAACTAAAGAATAATGCTGTGTGTAGTTTTGAAGTTAAGAATATGGATTTTTGACATTTGACTTGAGATCTTTTCAAGCATTCATTTTAGGGAGATTGAGAATTTGTAATGGCCCAAATAACAAAAAAAATATTTTAAAAAATTCTTTGAATTTTTTTTGAATAAAATTCTTAAACTTTTCGTACATTTAGAGGCCTTAATTAATATTAAAAGGGCTTGTGAGGAGTTTAAAAGTTCTTGATTTTCTTTAATCACGATTTTTGAAGATCGGAAAAAAAAGATTTTTGACTTTTCCAATCTTCAAAAATCGTGATGTCACGATTTCCAATCCTCACGAGCCCTGCCTATAAATCCACAGAAAGGTAAAAGGGAAGGTCCCAGCGTTGCCAATAATATCCAATATTCTTAGTCTTATTTAAAATGATTATGAACAAAAAAGATTTTAGGCAATACATTTTATTTGAATATTTTTTTACTGTTTTTCACGCATTTTCGTGATAATTTTAATTTGCTAAATTCTTGACTATCAAATTCACCAAGTTCACTGGTGCTTAACTTAAACATTTCGATTGAATTTATATAATTTTGCAAGAATATCGTTGACATACTTTTTGAACTTAATGTTGCAACTTTGTAAATGACAGATGATGTGATGTTGCTGAAGGACTTTTAGAAAATTTGTTTAAACTTATAATTTAAGGCAAGACTATTAAGAGCACTTTTTTAAAAATATTTTATTTTTTAATTTTTTAAAAAATTTCAAAATTAACTTTTAACACTGAATTTGACTCTAAAGTGGCCTCAAGCTAGCTTAGAACCTGATCTTTTAATTAATGAATTTTAAGTTCTTTGAATAATTTTTAAACTTAGACTGTCAGGTCATGTTCATCATTTGCAACACATCATACATCAAAAGACACACAACAGTTCTTAACAATGACAAAAACAACATTTATTTTGATGATGATTTTATATATCTGTGACTTCTCTCTCAATTCAGACTTTCTTCAAAAAAAGAAGTAAATCAAATTTATTTTACATTCAAATTTTCCATTCCAAAATACTTGAAATATGAATATTGACTAAACATCTACAAAATATTATTTTTTTAATAAATTCTTAAATTAATTCGAGAAAGATTTCATTATGAGGTGGATTCTGTTTGTTTTGTGCTGTGGTTTTGTATTTTATTTCAGATTTTTGTTTGTAAATTTTTACTTTTGAGGTTATTGACATTTTTGTTGTGTTAAAATTTTTTTAATATTTTTGGATGTTATTTTGTTTTGAATAATAACATTTAACGGAATGAAAATAAGGGAAAGGTGCCTTGTGTAACCTTGATATCCTCTATAGAGCTACCTCCATGAATTTGAAGGTACATTCTATTAAAGTTTCCAAAATATCCAATAAATGATTGTACAATGCTTTCTTAATTAAAATATAAATAGTTAACTTTTGAAAAATTTAAGAAGAATAATTTAGAAAAATGAGAGTTTTACGAAAATTTTGCTAACATAATTTTAGCATTTTAAATACCAAATAAAGCTTTTAACCGAAGTTAATTAATTAAACCATTGAAATCTTTCGTCAGATCTCAAGTTCAATCTGCATTCATTGTTACTCTATCTTAAATATAAATCTGAACTTAGGAGACAAGTGTGAATTAGGCTGAGTAGGAGTCAAAAACATTGAGTGATCAAAAATGCTCAAAATTGTTCAAGAATGTTTAAAAATCTTTTTGAATAGTTCCACATTCTCATTCCATGGCCTCATTTTTTGTATATACTTTTCAAGCTATCAAAGAATTTAAGTCTTAAAGCATACTTAAGAACACTGACCAACTCAACCTTCCAGACTCCAACTTAGCATGTTTCCATTCCCTGCCAGTCTTAAACATAAACAAAACACAAACGAAAATTTGAAATGAAATGAAGGAAACTTAACATTACAAAATCTTTTCTCTTCCATAAAATCAACCTAAAACCTACATACTAAATATAAATGAAATTTTTTAATACATTGAGACAGAAAAATGATTTTTTTTCTTGTCATGAAACTTTTTTTTAGACAAAAGACATGATGTAGTGAAGTTTAGTGCTTCAAATAATTTAAATTCGAACCTGATGAGCTGAGGACATTTCCGTAGTGATCCAAGAGATCTAAAATTACTCCATTTGTCCAGCCAAAGCCTGTTTGTACCTCGTATTCACCACCACCTCCGTGTCCTCCAAGTTCTGTTGCCATGTACTAAAAATAGAGTTAAGAAGAATAAAGTTCAGGTTTTTTTGACAAAATTGCTTACTTCCTGGTAGGGTCTTAACTTAATCCCTAGAGTATTGTCAAACAATCTTAACCCAAACCACAAAGACATACTCTGAGCTATCTCAGCTTACTTCAGTTGACTCAAACCTACACCAAATGACTCAAATCTACTCCAAACGAATCAAAACTACACCAATAAACTCAAACCTACTCCTCTGTGCTTTTACCAACTTGAAACCAACCCAATCTACCTTGAACTATTCAAACCCTCTTCAAACTACCCCATAAAACCTTTCAACATCTCCTTACCTTTTCAAACATGTGACCACTCTCCTTATATGCAAGATAATTACTCAAAACCCATCTCTGAGCCCAGTCTTGAGCCTTTTCTTTCGATTCCTTTGTTCCAAGATTATCAAGGCCTACAATCAACATGTGCTGTAATGGAGCCCATACATTAGGCCAATCCCATTGTTCACCACTTTTAACAAGTGTTGTTGGCACACCACCGGGATAGTCATCAAGTCTTGTATTGTTAATGTATTTCATTACTTTAGATGCAATGTGTTCGCGCTTTGTGACGTCATAGCAGCGCATCCATAATGGTGCTAGATTTGTTGGAACAAAAAATGGTCGATTCTTCTGATTGATGAGATCATAGTCGAGCCATGCTCCTGTTTCTTCATCCCAGAGGACTTCATTAACAGCCTGAAAGTATTTTGAAAAGTTTTAGTGTGAAATGACATTGATAAAATAATTTTAAAGGACTTACATCCAAGAATTGCTTAGCGATTTCCAAATATTCTGTTTGTTTTGTGATGTTGCCAGCATATCCGTAAAACTCAGCAATAATTTTAGCATTCCAGTGAAGAATTGCATTCAACTCAACTGGGACAATTGATCTAGTTTTTAAATTGGCAAGAGTTCCATTATTTCCACCTTCAGCATCAACAAACCATCTCGATGAAAAGTCCATTCCACTCTCGGCTGCTGCTTTTAATTCTGAATAATGTTCCTCTTTATCTTCATCAGTTGTAAATCCATTCGCTGTCTCAATATCTTCTCTGTATGATTCTGGACGTGGACCTGATGATTTGTCTCCATAAACTGCCATTTTATGTCCTTTAACCATGACTGTGTGATTGGACATCCAGTAATCGAACTCTAAGGCAAGAACATCGACAGCTTTTACTGCAAATTCAAAATCCTTTGTATGGTCGACGTAGGTCTTCACCATTGGTGTTAATAGTGGTGGTTGGGATCTCATTGAGTAATAGATTCTACCTCCATTGGGGATGAAACCGAAGCGAAGAACAATTGAAAAGAAGTTCTCAAGCATTCCTTTTGCAGTCTAAAAAGTTAATAAATGTGTTTTATGAGAATCAGTTAAGAAAGCTAGCTGAGTTTATGAGACTTTGACTTTTCTTGGGACCATGATCCACAAATTAAGTCTCTTTCGTCCAATTTTAGTATAATAAATAAATAAAACCAACTTACATGTGTCATCTCACTCAACAAGAGTCCACGAAGGACCCAGTATGAATCCCAATAGTAAAATTCTCTAAATCTTCCACCAGGCACAATCATTGGATTCTCAACATAAATGATTGAATACAGTTCCTCATTCTCATGGACTTCCTTCTTAATTTTTCTTCCCAAGTCATTCCAAATTCCATTTAAATCGTAAGCAAAGCTACGAAAACTTTTGTCACTGATTTTATCTAATACTGCTGGGTTCTTAGTGAAGTCATCAGGCTTCCAGGTTTCAAATTCAGATCCAGGTTCTTCGAAATTAGATTCGACCCATTTTTTCAAGTCTTCCGTGCTGGGGTCTGGATTTTTGGATACAAATTCATCAAAGATTTCAAGTGTCTTGGCTGGTGACTGTTTCAATTTCATGTCAACAAATGTTTTGGAATCAGCATAGATGTGAGCTAATTGGATTGTTTCTAGCAAGCGACCATGGCAATAGATTTCACTGAATGAGGAAAAATAAGGTGTTATTTATTGATAGAACTAATATTTAAAGAATATTTGACCGTAGCTCTCATAAATTAAATTCAACCCCCACAAAAATGAATCTTACCTGGAACATGGTGGCGGCAATTTCGAAATATACTCAACATCATTAGTTATTAGATATCCATTAACAAATACGCATGGTAAAATTAGTAATAAGCTTAAAATTCCTATCATTCTACTGATTATTATTTCTACTATCACACAATAAGTTTTTTCAATCTTCGGAGGTCTTTGAACTTAACTTTTTTGACTCTATAATGTGGAACAAAAAAATATGAACAAATTAAAATGTGTTGGATAGGTCAGTTAGTGACATTAAAGTGAAATTTCTTCTTAATTCTTAATTCTTTATGTTTTGTTGATTATCACACGATTTTTTTTAAAATTTTAAAATTTCCGAATGACGCGTTGGAATTGCCGTATTTTAATGGACATTAAACATCAATCCCTTAAGAAAACTAGAAGATTTAAAGCATGCAGTCAAAGCTTACCCATTACTTCCAACCGTTTTTGGATTGTAAAATATTTTTGTGCTGCTCGCGCGACTACAAAATTAAATAAGATTTTTATTTATTTACGATTAATTTTTTTGATAATTTGTGGACGGAGAAGTAACTGATTGATGATCGTGTGGCTTTGATATTTTAGATTATTTATATTTGGGAATTTCTCGATGATTTAAGAACCAGACATATAGAATAATTTGAGAATAACTTTATTGAGTCTGCTGAGGCTATCAGCTGATATTTCCGAGAATTGTTGTGAATTTTATATATTTTTTAAATATTTTTAACCGGCATTGCCAATTGCAATAATTTATAAAATGCATCATTTTTTAAAATTTTGTATTATAATTCTTTTTGCTAATACATCTACAATTGTGTGATTTAGTAAGTGAATCATGTAATTTAGTTTTCAGAACAATGATATAAAGCACATTAAATGTATTATTTTAATATTGGCATGAATCATGGCAATTAAAACCTTAGGGCCTAGGCCGTGTCTAATCTAGTATGCAGCATCCTTTTAAAATTTAAAAATTTTCAACAAAACAAAAAAAAATCCAAAATTTTCAACAAAAGAACTGTTCAAAACTTCACTAAAATTAAATTGTTCTGAATTTTCAATTTACCCAAATTATTTTTAAATTTATATTTTTTGATTAAAATTTGGAATAACAAAATTCTTTTCACTTTCTCAAAACTTTTTATTTGTAAAATAATTTTTTTAAACTTGGTTTTTCCATTCAATCGGAATAAGTATAAAAAGTAAACACACCACAACTCCTTTCACTGCTGTGTCAAAGTAAGAACTGAAAATATCAATCACATCGCACACTCATATATAGCGCTGCACATGTGGCTCGTAATATTTTATTTCCTATGCAGGCTTTACTAGTACAATTCATAATCGGTGTCATAAAGCTTTCAACAATTTTTATTTTTTTTTTTTTTTGATAATTTTGATAATTTTGTAATAATTCTGAATGAACCAATATCAGGGGCTAGATATGGGGGCTTAAAGGGGTTTTAAAAAATGCTTTTATTGGTTTTTAATATTTTAATCTCAAAGTTCTGCAATTTTATTGTTAAAATGCTTAAATTTAAGGCTTGCAAAATTCTAATTAATTTTTATTGTCTTTTTTGTGACAATTTACAAAACCTATAAAGCTATTAATCGTGATCAAACTTTAACAATTTAATTTATTATTGCTAAACATGTCATATAAATTGAAACTTTGGATAAAGCTGTCGTGAAAGTTTAACGGATATTAAAATATAATTCTATGGAATAATTAAATTTGTAACTTTTTTGATATAATTTGACACACTTTCGGGTGATGACAAATTTAATTACAAATTGTTTTATTTTTAAATGAAAATGAAGTCAATGGATATTTAGAACAGTTTAACTAGAATTATATATTTTATAAAAAAATTTAAACAATATAATAAACTTTGTAGAGAATTTACAATTTCAAAAGATCTGACAAATTTAAAAATGATCGAAAAAAATTAAATTTTAAAAAATAATAATTTCATAATTAAAAAATTTTAGAATTTCTTTCAAAATATTTATTTAAGAGGCTTTCAATTTTTTTTTTATAATATGAAGGTCGTCCTTAATTAATATTTATTTTTTCTCATAAAATAAACTAAAGAAGTCGTCAGGAATTCCCATTAAATTCGGGAAGACAGTCACGTGCTCAAGATTTTCTCTTACATAGAATTTATTTATAGACAGAACCTTGAACATTTTTTGGCTCTAAAACGCCTTCAATCATTTCAAGTTTGAGGTTGTTCAGTTTTATGAGCTTTTATGATCAACACAAATTTTATGTTCTTCATTTAGTATTTCAATATAGCGAAGCATTAACAATTGTCTTTATCAGACAAGAGGTAGCAGTAGCGTTGAGCATGTCTTGTATCAAAAAATCACATAAATATCGACCATAAAATGTATCAACAACTTCTGTTTAATATTGCAATTTATTTTACAAAAATACACACATGCAGGTGCACCAGCTTGGGTTTTTCCTTTCGAGTTTATGGCACTGCATATGTTGCAGAAATTGCATAACATTGGATTTGCAGTAATATGAATAAATTCTGCTGGATATACTTGGGATAAATTTTTTATGGTTTTTAAAGCACATTTATCAAAAATTATGAAAATTTAAGCATTTAAATAATTTTTTAAAAATAATTTCAGTTCATTGTCCTCTAAATTATGAAAATTTAATTTTTTTATCATTAATTTTATCTACTTTTGCACCAAATTTAGGCTTCATGGTATCATTGAACCGTCTTTATATTTTGAACCCTCACAATCGAATAGGAAGAGGACAATTTTTTTTGGAAACTTTAAAAATAATTGCGAAAAAAATACGAAAGTGCAGAAATTTTCACACTTTTAGAATAACTCAATAACCTCAAATGAATCAGGGCAAGAAATATTGCAATTTATTTTTGACTCAAATTTAGAATTGAATTACTCAAAACTTTAAGTTTATTCAAATTCAATAACTTTTTAAAGTTCTAAAATCTTACGGAATCGTTTATTTATGACGTCTAAGGCACTACAAAAGGCTTTAAATAATCCTGTTTGATTGACGTCATATCTTAATGACCCTTAATAGGGTGGGACAAAAAATAATTTTTTTTATGGCGAAAATTAGGGACGGGGGAATTTTCAGGATTTTTTGATAAAAACCCCTGGCAAAATGAATTCTGTTTTGTGTCTTATCTGTTAAAATTCCCCCTTCCTCCACCTGCGTCTTTTTAAGATGTGAAACTAGTCGATCATTTTTTGATCACGTTTTGAGGATTTAATATGGATTTTATTAAATTCTTAATTTTTTATTTTTTATTCTTTAGTCTGCATTAATAGTTTAACAATTGACAAAATAAAACTTAAACCCCAAAACCGGCACTAACATGCTCTTTTGACAACCTTCTGCTCTTCTTCTTTCGTTAATAAATTTTGCAAGGATTTCCGAAACAAAAAAAGTGATAATTTACGAGTCAATATTTAACTGAATTTGAATTAATAAATCAAAATATCAGTAAAATGCAGCAAAATTTAAATAAAATAAATTAATTAAAATAAACTTTTATGTAGGCTGTACAACTGTTCATTTTCAGCGGGAAAGTGAGATTTTTTGGCAGTACAAAGTTGATCAAAAATGCCAATTATCAGTCAATAATTGATAGAGAGACAACTTTAATGCTGAATTCACACAAAAAATTTAAAGGAAACATGAAAAAGATCATTAACTTTAAATTCAAATTTTGAATATTATTAGATGAAATTATAGAACCAAAGCTTAATATATTTAATAGAAATTCACCTATCTTCATTGATTTAACCATAATTTTTATTTTTCAAGAAATTCATTCACATATTTCATTACTGACCTTTATCACTGATTCCTTCATTGATTACTAACGTTTTCAAAGAATTCAGAATGAAATGCCACGAATATCTTTAAATTCCAAGCTTATTTATCATAAATCATGACTCATTTAACCTTTACATTGTTATCTCAGATTCGTCATTTAAACATCGAATTGATATTATCAACAAGATATATGAGCATTAATTGCTAAGATTAGTGTGACTTTTGTCGGCAAAATGTAAGCATTCGAGCCCCTTCAAAGTATTTATGACGCGATGGGGATTTTCTGAGAATTTCTAAGCTTAGATAATTAAGATGGAATATATTTTCAATGTTAATAGTTTGATGGTTTAGTGCCGTCTATAACTATTGGTAGTTTTTAAATTTTGTGATTTATTAAAGAACTGTTTAAAGTGAGCGAAGGGGTTTTTGGAGTCTAGACTCAATCTTGACTTATCTATTTTCTAAATGGAAGTCAAAATTGTCAAAATTGAAGCCAAAAATGACACAAAATTTATCCCTTTGTAGAAACTTCCCAAAATCTTAAAGCTAGTTTTATTCCTAAAAAAAGTCTCATTGCTTATTCAAAGTTTCATTAACAAATCGACTCGATGTCACAAACTTCTCAGGAACACATTTGTGTTATCTTTCAATCACTATGTGTAGTCATTATTGCTGTAGAAGCGCAAGTGTAAAAATTGCAAAACTTGGTATTTGTCAATATCCTTGACACACAAAGATACATTTTTGCGATAAGTTTAGAACATTGTTCGTTACAAAGAGTTGAACAGTCGTCCTTGTTGCGCACCATAAATCAGCACATAAACTAATAAAAATTGAGCTTCGATAAATTTTCAACACTCAATGTCAAAGTCACAAATGACACGTACAAAAAATTGTCAAAGAAAATAGTTTGTGCTTTTGTGCTTCCCACATGTCTCGGTTTGAATTTTAAATATTTGTAGTATCAGAAAAAGTTTGTTAATGAACAGAAAACGTGAAGCTTAAAATAACTTTTTTTTGAATTTTAAATAGATTTTTAATTGTCATTCTTTCATGCTGTGCACCTGTGTTGCTGTTTTTTGCTGTTGCTACTGCATTTTTATGCATTGATTGTAATTTTTTTACTGTGTGCTAATTCAAGGGTTGAGAAACTCTGAATAAAGTGTTGAGTTTGAATTTAATTTGAATTTTTAAAATGCAGTTTTTGAAAAGTCACAAAAGGTTTCTTGGCAAAAATGTTAAATTAAATGTTTTCTCATTTTAATGCTTTTTA